CTCCAACTGCCTTCAAGGCTACATAGTTTATTTTTCCGGGTAGGCGTCTCATATAACTTTCACTTTTTGTTTAGGTTTAGTTTGCTTATGTACCGGTTACTTTGTGTTCTCAATAAGCAATAATCAATTGAAATGGAAAGTGCACCTCCATTGCTGAAGGAGTTTCCTAAATTTTTCGCGCTCCTGATAATTAATACATAAAATAGGGATAATGACCGTGATAATGTCAAAGAAACTCGTAGACGTTATCTTTTTTTCGCAGACAACAATGCGTTTTCCCCATCGGAGGCACTATCACCGCTTTTGCAGGGGTCATATGCCATCGTAATTGTGCAACTGGGCGGCCTCGTTGGAGGTCGCACTTCAGTGCTAATGTCAACGGTTTTCTGGTGCTTATATGATACCTGCGGAATTATTCACTGTAATTAATGGGGTATACTGTCACGTGAGTCACATGCTCCTTGTCCAGTGCGTTCTCTTTGTCTCACTTACCTTATCGCTTGCTTCTGTAATAAGAGCACGTGCATAACTGATCCTGGGCTAGCTATTTGTTTTCTTCCCCCTCCCCCCTCTTAATATGTCTTACTTGCTCGGATCGTTTGAGCTAAAACCAGTGTTTTCAGTCAGCGATTCGACTTGGTGGCAGCTCGATGGTAATACTCAGTTAAGCTTCGTGAGCAACCTTGGGAAGACCTATTGAATTGCTACTAGAAAGAGGCCCCTTGAACAAACTTCATTCAGGAGTTTGCTAGGATTGAACCATTTTAGTTGGATGATATAAGCAAAAGGAACTAATGAAATGTCGAATGCTCCCTCTAAGCCGAATAGCAACAAATTTTCTTCAATCCGGTTGATGCTTCAGAACCTCAAAAACTTAATTATTTTTACCTTCATATTCCTATTATTCTCGTTTTTTGGGATATCCAAGCTACTTTTCATGATCAGCGACACGTCTTTTTCTTCTTGACTGTTTTGTCGCTTCTGAGGAGCTCGTGTGGGATAGGTCCGCAGTCCAATGCAGATTTCTACCTAAGTAAAAAAGAAGAAATGGAAAATGGTTCAAAACCAGCAAATCGCAGATGGTCGATTCCTCAATGATCCCATGACTCAAGATAAACCGCAGTGTTATGTCGCAACATGAGGCTCACAGTGAGGATCCGCTTGGGGACTTTCAAGGTGGGTGAAATCGTTTCTCGAGAATGCGAAATTCCACAACCGACTGAGTTGACTTCATTTTACCCACGCCTGAGTGTCTTTTATCAGGTAACCTATTGCAGTCAGGGTGCAGTGTGTATTTTGCCTGAGAGAATCATTTTGATCGCTGTTTTTTCCCGTTTCACACGCGCTGTCTGCGCCATTGCGAGTATTATCATGGGTAGTTGCTCGTCATTAGAAGGAAGGGGAGGCCGTATTGCCACCAAGAGAAATTTACCGAGTCGCAAAAAAATTCCTCCAATAGTCATCTTTTCGTGTTTTTCCCGGGTCATGTGTGCTGTGCCGCTCCCACCTCCACATCGACGTTAGTTTTTTGGGGGAAATTGAAGAAAAAAGTGGTAGGAAGTAGGGAAAAGTAGTAAAGTTAGTGCCAAAGGGGGTCGTACCCAGAGGAGAAAATTTTGAGGGGGCAGTTTTTCGAAGGGGTCCCTCCTACGAAGAACGTACCCTGATGCAATGCAGGCTGCTGTTAAACCTAGTCCCTTTTGAACCTATGGTAAATGGGGTGGGTAGAAGTGTAGAAGTCTGGAGCATCCACTGGTGCAGTCTTAGCCACATATGGCGCTGCTACCTTTTTTTCTGGGCTATCGCGTGGAGCCAAACTAGGGACGAAGACAATACCCTTCCGTCTTCCCACCGGTTCAGCCTTCACGCCATGGTTCGCCGTCAGTCCCTCCCACTTTACACCCGTCTCCCATTGCGATTTATCTTCCGCCTGATTATTTGGTTCTTTTCTTGGAGTGACGGTTTGAATTGATCAACCTTTTTTTTCCATCAAGAAGCATTGTATGAGATGTGAAGTAGTTGATGTTTGACGCCCAGTGAGCTTACTTAAGTGCATGTGTTTGCATTTCCCTATTTTTTACTGCGATACTGAAAGTCAGGGAAGAAACTAGCGCAAATCCGTTAGAGTAAGTTTTTATATTGCTTCTTTCAGCGCTGTTCGGTTTGAAGGGGCATTTTGCACTTTACGTTCCTTTTGTTAGTTCATGTTTCATAACATTTATCACTTTGGGGAGACCTGTGAACTCCTGTGTAGCTACGATGATACAGGAATTATCTGTTTGCAAAGTTGACCTGTAAAGCCTTTCGCAGAGTACTTATTTCGTGCACTACGAATAAATCGCGGGCCCCCTTTTCCTTTCTCTTCTATCTTGATAGCGTGCTCCTCAGCTCTATTTCCGCTTCCCAGTGCTATATTTTTCTGATTGGATCGTCGATTGCGCTAGGAGTCGAGCTAGGAAAATAATCATGGTTGGAATATGATCTCGTTCGCGCAGCGGATGTTAACTTAGGGCTTGTTGGGGGGGAGGGGTTTCAATAGCGATGAATTTTTTTATTCCATCGATTTAGAGCGTGTGTCGCCTTAAAGTGTGTGCAGCATAGCGCGGTCCACTTAGTGGCTGTGGTTTTTTGTTTTCGTTGGTTCGACTCGATTTATTCAATAAATTTTTGCGAAGATATTGCGGAATTTTCAGAAATTTCATCATGGCATTGTTTTCACCAGTGAGGCGGTCCGTTTACATTTCGCTATGCGCTGGCTCCTATGGCTAGCTTACCGACGCAGCAGGGCCGCTGCGGAACATTTCAGTAATTTCATTAAGGGTGCTTTGAAATGTGGGCGCTGTTTGGAGGTTTTTTAAAGCTCTTCAATTCGGGGGGGGGGCACCAGATAGCACAGCGAAGCTTGTAGGGAAACCTTGTAAAAATCCGTAAATTCCTGCAACTAAAGTGGCTCACTTGTAACATTTCACAGCCTCACAAGAATTTACGAAATTCACCAAGATGAGACCTGTTGGTTCATGTTGAACTAGCAAAAGGAATCAGCTAACGTGCGAAATGCCCTCACGAACCGAATAGGCCCCTTTTTGCAAATTGGTTGCTTGACTACCGTAGCTTGTATGCTCAGACAAAGTGTTCATAGAGGTTGAAGCGTTGCCACGCTTTCTTCTTCAACTTTTGTCTTTCCATGGTTAATTTGGAAATGAAATAGGTTTTTGATGAATTCTATACGAGCAAAGCTCGCTACTGGTTTTTGCTTGGTTGGATAGGCGCACGTGATGTTTTAGCGCCGGCCCATTCGCCTCGGCAATATTTGCACAATTGCAACATGCAGCGTTCTCGTTCTTTTTTTTGACGATTATAATAAGGCTGTGTTTTACTTTGCGGCAGCTAAGCGTTAGCGTGCGCGCGTGAGTAGCTTTCATTCCAGCGTACGTGCCGCGGCAGTGAAGAGAAGATGCATATCGATCTAGCTTCACCAGCGTCACCAGCGGCACGCTGGCGTACGCTAGCGTACGCCAGCGGCACGCTAGCGCACGCTGGCGTAGCGAGGGCATGGGAAGCATAGCTATCGATCTAGCTTCACCAGCGTTGCTCCAGCGTTTCCCGGCGCTTGCCAGCGGCGGGCTAGGAGGGGGCTAAGAAGAGCACTGTGCGGAGGAGAGTAAAAAGTAATCTCCTCGTCGTGTCTCTAGCCCCTCTCTAGCCTTGCAGCGACGGGGCTAGAGAGGGGCTAGAGAGCACTGAACGGAGGAGAGTACTTTGTACTCTCCTCCGTCCAGTGCTCTCTAGCCCCTCTCTAGCCCCGTCGCTGGAAGCGCTGGGAAAACGCTGGAGAAACGCTGGTGAAGCTAGATCGATAGCTATGCTTCCCGTGCCCTCGCTACGCCAGCGTGCGCTAGCGTGCCGCTGGCGTACGCTAGCGTACGCCAGCGTGCCGCTGGGTGACGCTGGATGTAACTAGATCGATGATGCACTTCTCTTCGCCTGCGTGCGTAACGCTGGATGCGTAGCCTACGCTGCCGCAAAGTATAAGCGAGCCTAACTTCCCCTGCAAGTAAACACAGAGGTGAATTGTAGGGGTTCTGCGATTATTGCTAACGACGTGTTGAGTTTGATGAGAATACAACGAAAATAGAAAATTCTGGTCTCGTTTTAGTCTGATTTGTTGATTTTTAATGACTTTTTTAATCCTGGAGAAAACTTGCAAAGCATAGGTTCTGATAAGTACTGATTGTTCTCCTTTTGAGCAAGTTCGCCCATTATCGGCTAGTGTTATGGCTTGAGGTTGGAAAGCATGCTTTCGATCATTTCCTTACCAACCTAATACGTTAATCTTAAAAATGAAAATGTCATTTTCAGAGTAACTTTTCGTATTTTCTATGATTTCTACGAGATTTGTTAGCTGTGTTTAGGTGGAGGCGCGAAATCGATTCCCTCATCGTAGTGAAGGCCGTTAATTGAAACTGCGGTTATTCAAGGTTCTAATTATTCAACCAAGCTTGGATGAAGGATATGATTCCCGGATGTGGGGAGGGGGGTGGGGAATTGGGCTTATCTTGTTGAAAACCACGGTTCACGTGGTCAAAGTTACCTCCCGCGGTCAAGTGATCCGTGAAATGCGTTGTGGATTTGGTAGCTAGATGTACACTCGCAAATAGAGTACCACTTTCGTCACACGAACCTGCGAGATAAAGCAGCCAGACAGCAGCGTGACTTTCTACTTTAACGTTTTCAGGCTACAAAACAACCACTTACATTGCTAATTACCGCGCGTGTTGCTTGCCAATTGGTAGTGTGTAAATCTGTTAATTTGCTTCATCTTATCTTGGTGGGAGATGCTTTCTGTTGTACATAAAAATAAATCGATTAATAATAGTATTTCTCGCTGTACTCCTCTTTCCTTTCTTCGTGTTCTTGATTTTTCGCGTTGCGATTGATTACGTCTTAGCGTTTGCTTGTTGTCGGTGTCAGCCAGTAATCGCTATCATTTAGCTTTCGTCATGTCTACGTACTCGAATCATGAAAAATCAAAAACTGGTATAATCAAAGAACTGGAGACTGTTTTAAAAGCTGCAAAATGTTCACCATATACCGCAAAGGATTGTCTTTCGAGGTTTGTATGATGTTAGATGGTTTTATGACGTCACAAAGGTCATGGGCGCCTTTTGATTCATCTCGCCGTTTTTTTGGGCGCAGTGCAGTGACGAGGGGGGGGGGGAATTTTGCACTTTCGCTAATTTCCATCGACGTGTCGAGCCATCTAGGCTGCTCCAGCTTCAGAAGAGTTCGCAGTTGTTACGAGGGGACTTGTAAACGGGAACTAGTGAAACAGCGAAAGTGCAAAACGCCCCCTCTCCCCCTCCCGTCGCCGAACTGCTCTCGTTTTCTCTATTTATTAGATTTTTCTCGTTAGAACGTTCCGCTCTCGTCAGCGAGAACGGAAAGTAACTGTTCTTATCAGTACTGTTGTAATGGCAGTAGTGGTTCGTTTTTTATGGCACACTACATGTGATTTAGTGAGATTACTCAAAATATCTGCAACGTGATCGAAGCGATATTCATACATGGCTTGAGGGATCCATTCTTTGTAAAAGGATCTAGATACGCCAAATATCCCGAGCCGGTCCGTATGCACTTGTAATGCTTATTTGACATGAAAATGAATAAGTCACTTTGTTAACGTGCGTTCATACTCTGCGGCAATGTTTCGAGCGTCCGGCAGCGAGCGATAATCGATACTTATACTTTCTTGGTCGCCCAAACAAGGGACAGCATCGTTGTGTGGAACACATAAGGTTCTCTTCCCCTGAGGAGGTGGGGGATGGGGTCGCATTTGGTGGTTGGGAGAGGGGAGAAGGGTCGTATGGGCCTTTGAGAGGAATTTGCTGCGATGGGAAAAATTTTTTCCCGGTTGTTGACTTTTCGTGATTTTTTTCCTGTTTTATGAGTACCGTTTACCGCTCGCTCGATAACAAAATTTTGGTGCACATATAGGGAAATTTTCGGGATGTTCCGGAAAAAAGGTAGGGAGTTTGGGGTAATTTGAGAAATTTTCCCGTTTCACATTGGCTATATACCTCTCCACCCCCCCCTCCCCGACGAAAAATCTTTGGGTGAAAAATGGAAAGTGTGGAAATTGGTAGGTAGGTGTTAGGAAAGAGCGGGGGTCGTACCGAGAC